AATGGTCTTCACTACTAGATATTTACTATATGAGATTCTTTCATATTTACCAGGTAAGATTTCCTTAATGAATTGAAGAGGACTTTTCTCCTTCTTTCCTGGTTTGGGAGCCCAGGAACCATTAAGATTCCCATTCTTGCCCTTTAGAAGCTGGAAAGGTTCCAGAGTGACAACATGTGATGTTCCAGAGGGATTGGCCAGGGGATTGCGTAGGTCGTCAGGGAAAGAGCTAATTTTTTTTCGTAAATTTGTAGAAATTATATAAATTAGAATTCTTCATTTCCTCCCCAATTCCCCCCATCCACCATGGAGTTCAAGAAGGGGACTCAAAATCTCCCAACAGCCACAGGGGTAGTGAGGAAATATACGCAGTCACTATTACAGGGACCGACTACCGACTGGATAGTGCCTGTGTGACTCTAGCCCTATTTGACCAGCCATATGACTTGTTCAGGCCTTGATCAAGCCACCTGTCTAAACAGAATAGAGGACCAAAGAGGTGTGTTGCTACCTGCGGGGCACAGCGTGCAGCATCGCTCAACCTTCAGGACTCCTGTTTCATAGTAATATGGGTCGGCACGCACGGCAAACACACGTGGGGGAGTTCTCCCTGGTCCAAGATGGAATGAACCAGGGGTGGGTGCCCCATCCTCTCTCACAGGCCTTGGTGCATCAGGAAGCCATTTTGTCTCATCCCTCACTGGTGACCCCTCCAGTATGGGTAGCCTTCTGGTCTGGATCACCAGATCATTGAGTCCTCAAGTCCCCCACAGCCGCAAGGCGGCTCCCGTTTGAGGGGAGAGAGGAGAGAGAGGGAGAGGGATATATATATATATATATATATATATATATATATATATATATATATATATATATGGAGAGAGAGGGGAGGTGGGGAAGAGAGAGAGAGAGAGAGAGAGAGAGAGAGAGAGAGAGAGAGAGAGAGAGAGAGAGAGAGAGAGAGAGAGGGAGAGAGAGAGAGAGAGAGAGGGGGGGGAAGAGAGAGAGAGAGAGAGAGAGAGGGGGGGAGGGGGGAAGAGAGAGAGAGAGAGAGAGAGAGAGAGAGAGAGAGAGAGAGAGAGAGAGAGAGAGAGAGAGATACGAAAAGCTACAATCAGTGAGATAAGGGACCGACCTGCAATTTCACCAACTTCATGGACGGAAATGCCTACTTCTGTGCTACTTCTTCTAACTTACAAGGGAAACGGTGGAGTCTGCAACGCACTGTATCAACAATAACACTTTACACATTTACGGCCTCAATAGAACATCTCTCTTTCACTGCAACGATTCTGTGACGCCTTACAGGGGTGAGTTCAGCTCCTTCCTCTTCTAGTATGGGATTTAGTTCTTTGTTACTTAGTACTTTTGATAGTTTATATATATAAAAAATATACTTTCTATCACCTATCCATTATCCATATCTTTTAAAAGAGAGGAAGCGACCGTTGGATAATTTAGACAGTTAACAGCAACACAAATATATATTGATAGATTAAGAAAAAAAGAAAAAAGAAAAGTGGTTATCGTGGTCTAACCTGATAAGAAATCATAACAATATGGGAGGGAAAATATATAAGGTCTTTTAAAAAATATATATACATTTTTACTAGAGAGAGAGAGAGAGAGAGAGAGAGAGAGAGAGAGAGAGAGAGAGAGAGAGAGAGAGAGAGAGAGGTAACATAAATTTAAATATTGGAAAGATGAGAGCAAGAGAGATAATAGTCAGAAAAAAAACGAGAAGCATCTATCTGTGAGATAAGGGGCAACATGGACCGACCTTTGCCTTGCCTCCATTTCTCAACATTATAGTCATTACTCTACAACCTCATCAACTTCGTGGACGGAATTAGCTACTTGTGTCGTAAGGTATTATTTTACAAATTCACCAAATGGGTAGTAATACCTGTTTTGTTTAGTGGTTTCTGTTGGCAATACCCATTTATTATATCGTTGCGTTCAGTGTTGTACTGGTAAAGGAAGGGAAGTAGCTGACATGATGAGAGGATAAAGATAGATGTACTGTGTGTGCAAGAGGCGAAGTGGCAAGGAAGTAATGCGAGACTGTTAGGAGGCGTCTTCCAGATGTTCTATCATGGCAAGGACGGGAGGAGAAATGGCGTGGGTGTAGTGGTGAAAGAAAAGTACTTTAACAGCATAATGGAGGTTAAAAATGTGTCTGACCGAATAATGACAATGAAGTTGGATATTGAAGGGGTGCTACTGAATTGAATAAATGTGATCAGTTTTTATGCATCACAAATAGGATGCGAAGGAATTTTTTTTAGAACGAAGTAGAGGAAGAGGTTCAGAGCATATTGGCAGCAGAGAAGATAGTTGTGGGAGTGGACTACAATGGCCATGTCAAGGAGAAGGGAACAATGGTAATGATCATGTGAAGGGCAGATAAGGAGTGGGAGAGAGAAACCTGGAAAGACAGATGGTTGTCGATGTTGGTAAATGGGTGGAAATGGCGGTAGCGAACTCCTATTTTAAGAGAGAAGGACACACAGTTACCTGCATAAAGGAAGGGAAGACGAGGACAAGGAAAGCCATCAGGAATGCAGAGAAATGTGCAGCAGGGCAAAAAAGACAGTTGCAAAGGCAAAAGAAAATGCGTATGAGAAGTTATATGAGAAGTTAGACACTAAGGAAGGGGGGAAAGATCTCTATAGACTGGCCAGACAAAGAGACAAATGGGTGAGATGTGCAGCATGTAAAAATGATAAAGGATGCAGATGGAAACATTTTGGCAGGTGAGGAGGACATCTTGAGAAGGTGGAAGGAGTATTTTGAGGAACTCATGATCGTTGGAAATACAAGACTGAATGACGTAGAATCAAGAAGTACAGGAGATTAGCAGGGAGGAGGTGAGGAAGGCTTTGAGAAAGATGAAAGACATATGGCACGGAGGCGCTCCCACTGACGAAAAATACAAGAATAGGAACAGGAAGTTGCGTTTTTCGTAACGAGTCACGAATGGACACAGTGAAAAAAGGGCCAGAAAACATTCTGAGAGAAACATAAAGATGCTTAGGAGAGATGGGAGTGGCATGGCTAACCGAACTGTTCAACATGATTCTGGGACGTGAGAGATTGGCAGAAGAATGAAAAAAATACCTTAGTCCCAATATTCAAAACTGCAACAGTTACAGAGGAATGGAGTTAATTAGTCACACAATGACTATTTGGGAAAGGGTGGTGGAAGTGAGGCTGAGGAGAACAGTAGAAATCTGTGATAAACAGTTTGGGCTTATGCCAGAAAGAAGCACGGCAGATGCAATATTCACCTTGAGTAAAGTGATGGAAAAGTTCAGGGAAGGCCAGACACGGGTTGCATTGTGTCTTTATAGACGTAGCATATGAGAGTTCCTAGAGATGGCAGAGAAGTACGTAAGCGTGGTGAACGATATGTATGAAGAGAGCATAACACGAGTAAGATGTGCGACAGGAACGACTTAAGGCTTTAGAGTGAGAGTAGCTTTGCACTGAGGATTGACTGTGAGCCCTTTCTTGTTTGCTTTAGTGATAGACAGATTGATTGATGGGCTACGAATAGATGAAAGTGAGGAGGACCATGACAAGAGGGATGATGAATGTGCGCAGTTAGGAGACGAAGGAAGAGAAGCAAGACTAACGGGGTGGATTTTTATGATCATTATTATTTTTACTATCATAATTATTTTTATTATTATTACTATCATAATTATTTTCATTATTATTACTATCATAATTATTTTATTGTAATTACCATCATCATGATTATCATTATCTTTATAATTCGTATCATTATCATCATCATCGTCATCATCAACATCATAATCATCATTACTACCATTATCATTATCAATGTTATTATCATTGTGATCATTATTACTAGTAGTAGTATCACTATCAATTCTTAAAGTACAGTAACTAACAGGTAAAATTACTCAGTTTCTCAGCAATGGTTTTATAACTGCTAAAATAACATGCGATAACTTGACTAAAAGTATCCAATAAAGATTAGATAGTAAGCCGCCATGTATGTATATATGCACACACACACACACACACACACACACACACACACACACACACACACACACACACACACACACACACACACACACATACACACACACACACACACACACATGCACACACACACACACACAATCATATGTATATACATACTGATTCTCCTTTGCATTCTCGTACTAACCCAAAGAGGGGAGACAGTTGACAGGGTTCACATGAAATAATCTGCGTCACACATTAGTAACTTCTCTCACTCTCTAATGAACAAAAATGATAATTTGTAATTTTTAGTATTGGTTCATTCAGTAGATTACCGTTTTACCTTATAAACTCTTGACTCTACTTCTGGTATACTTGGCGAAGGTAAGCCTATATGACGACCTGTTTGAAAGAATCATCGTATATTTTAATCTAATACTTTAACATCACCCTTTTTTCAATTAAGAAAATTCTTTGTTTAAGAAAAAATAAGGATTATCCCGTGGAGGCAGATGGAGGAGGGGGGGAGGGAGATTAAGTTGGGTGCATCTAAAGTGAGTGATTGATGAATGGTTTTGAATTCATGCAGAAAAATGGATATCAATACCAGCGTTTTTTATTTTTTAAATAAAGCAAGTACATTAAATGTAATTTATTAAGTCCAAGAAAGAAACGGGTATATATATGTATATATATACATATATGTATATGTATATATATATATATATATATATATATATATATATATATATATATATATATATATATATATATATATATAATGATAAGTATGGGGGACATTGCGAGTAAAAGTAAAAGTTGAAGTAACGTAGTTATTGCGATGCACGTTTATAGTAATTAGGGGACTTCTCCCCACTGTCCCTCTAGGTCTGCAAAATCTTCACCTCGTACATTCCGGCAAGACAGAGCCCGGACACCTATGCTTTGGTAACAAACATTGATGGTACTGTACGTAAGGGCCTTTTCCCTCGAACCTCTTTTCAGGGAGGGGAACTTCTGTCCCCTTCCCTCCGCCATGGTCTACACAACCTTCATCTCGTATTTTCTGTCAGGATAGTGTGCGGGCAAATAACTGGACCTCGCGCCGATTTCTTGCCTTGACCAGTGAATCCGGAAGGGCCAGCCTGCGCGTGGTTAGTCTTCGTCGTCGCTTTTGGGAAGCATAGTCGCCATTATCCACCGCTCTGTTTCGTTATTGTCATCATATTTTGCATATTATTTTGCGTCAGTTTCTCTCGCCGCTGGGAGAGTACGTGTCATGGAGCACCTGACTTATAGATTCTCTATGTTATTGATTGGCGAAGGAAATGTTACATATTATCGAATTGCTAAGTAAGATTCCTCAGTTTCGGTGTCAAGTGCCAATATTACCTATTTATCTAATAATGCTTTTGGACCGAACAATAAAAAAACTACATAACAAAATTCCACTATTTTGCAGAAAAAATCCAATATGACACGAAGAGGAGTTCATCCATGCTCCTTCCAGTATACAGCACTGTGGATATTTACTCTTCTCAGTCTCCGCACGACCGTCTGTGCAACGCCCGCCACAAACCAAAGTTCGTATTGGATGTTCAGAGACTTGCGGAAATGTTAATTGACATACTGAATACATCGGTTCTGACGAACATGAACACTGCGGTTCTAAGTCCTCCCGGATATTCAGCCTGTCAAGGTTTATAATACGACAAACGAGTTTTACTTTTCTTATTTATTATTACTATTAGTTCTTACTTCCCTTACACAGACATAAAGATACAGACTCTAAACTACAAATGGGTCGGCGAGGAAAAGGCAGAAGTGACAGCGTGTCTTGAAAGCGAGACGGACGGGACCCCCTTCAGGCAGGTCGACCTCCTCGTCACCAACGCTCTCGGGAGGGCGTGGCGGACCAGAGGAGGAGGAGGAGCGTTGAAGAAAACGGAGGAGGGTGCTTGCTTCGCTGGGATAAGTCTCGAGAAGAAGGACTTGGTGAAGACGTTGAGCTTCAGGATCTTGGAGAGCGGGACTGATGAATCGATTCAGGAGCTGGAGACGTTCTTCATAGGTGAGCCTCCTTGTGGCATTTTTCGTACTTTCGGACCAAAGAGGCGCCCGCTCAAAAAAACATAAATTGATTCAAATATTTCTCTTTATTATATCGGACAAATATAAACTATATATGGTAGAAAAATACCACAATGAACAAACTAGATTTACATAATTGTATATAATCATACGTTTATTTCGAATGCAGTCCCAGAGGTAACTCCCATGAGCAAAGGCGTGTACGAGATCTGCTGGGATGACCCCGAAGGACTCGCTTTTGCCTTGGCCCAAGGAGACGTTACTCAGCCGCTCGTCTCTCCCCCGGCCGGATGCCACGAATGCTGCCTCGTCGTCGTTGCGAAGGTGAGGGCATTGGTGGAAGCCTTTGCGTGCTCGGAAATTTCCCTTGAGTCTTTATCTTTCTCTCTTTTTCTTCCTTTATGTCTTCCCTTTTTTTTATTCTCTCTTTCTCTGTCTCTGTTTCTCTATTTCTCTTTCGCTCTCTGTCTTTCTATATGTCTATCTATCAACTTCTACCTTGTATCTATATATATTCATATACATATCGTTGTATTTCCTCCATTTCTGACATACGCAAACTTATCTCTGCATGATAAGAGATTACGCAAACGACAAACACTCCAGAGAGAGAAGGTTCTCGTCCTGCTTCCCCCTCCCCCCTCCTTTACCCATTAACAGATAGCACAGGGGTATGTGAGGAGGGAATCTGTGGGTACTCATAATGCAGCACAACACAAACTCAACACCACAAAAAGCGTTCGATTTTAGTTCTTTGAATCTAAAGGGTAATTTTTGTCTTGTCTTCTACTACAGTTATTACTGCTGTTACTGCTACTACGACTTTTACAGCTACTACTACTACTACTACTGCGACTATTAAAACTGTTACTATTATTACTGATATTAATACTATCGCAACTACAACGTCTTCTCCCTTTTCTTCTGTCCATGATAATGATAGTGCAGGTTGTAGAAATCGAAAATAGTACTGAAGACAAAATTAACAAATATAATATGATAATAATAGTGATATTGGTGATGACAAGGTTAGGAACAGGGATAGTAATAGTATAGTATTATTGTGTAGTGTTACTACTTTTTCTACTACTACTCATGATGATTATAATGATATTGTTAATAATCAATCAATATTATGATGATAATGATGACGATAATAATACTAATAATACTAATGCTAATACTAATACTAATAATACTAATAATGATAATAATAATAATGATAATAATAATAATAATATTAACAATAATAACAATAACATTATAATAGCAATAACAATGATAATGATAATAATAATTATAATAATGAAGTTATCCTCAGCAACAACAGTAATAATTGTAGTAATAAAAAATATCATATATCATAAAAATATCAGTAACCATAATATTAACAACGATAATAGATACATAAAGGAACAAATAACAGTTTCCCCTTGCAGAGTCCAGGTGGCCTCGTGACCCTGGAAACAGCTGGCACCAGACACCTCAGACAGCTGGTGCAAGTTCGTCTGCCTTTAAACTTAACGGACGGTCGTGAGTAACTAGGTTTATATTTGAACTCTTATTTCTAACTTTTATTTTTTAACATTACTTTGGGGAGTGATACAGTATAAGTGATAATTGTTGATAACGATAATGATAATGATGGGTGGAGGCGAAGGAGGGAGGGATGAATATATAAAAAATATATGTGTATGTATGTATATATATATATATATATATATATATATATATATATATATATATATATATATATATATAAATATACATTTATATGAAATGATGGTGATAACAGCAATTAATACAAAGATCAATAACTATAATAATAATGATTATGATAAGTAAATGAGCAGTTAGATAAACAAACCGTTCCCCATTTACCTCTTATCATTAGGTTGTAACAAACAAACAAACAAAAAGACTTGAATGATTCTTTGTCGATGAGAGGATTCTTTTTCTTTATTCCAGCAAGATGTAAAACGTGTATGTATATGTATGTGCATGTATGTACAGTCAGAAAAAAAACTCCTGTCCTTTACTTTTGGTTCATGAGGAGTTGAGCGCTTCTTTCTGTTTCGGATTACGGTGTTAACTACCTTGCCTCGCTATTTCACACTACTTCGTCGATTTTTCATATTAGCTTGTGTAAAAGGTAACGATATCTATTTCTCTGACTGTACAGTACATATTTTTTTTCAGAAATGAAGCCACATTCATCAGTTCCACTCATCATCAAGGAGCTCCACAAGGTATCCAGGGACGACGACCCGAGTGGAAGAGATCAGAACTTGAAAGTTTTCTTGGATGCTCACCAAGCAACAGAGGCAGATGATTTTATACTTACTCTGATATCAAACGGGGAACAGAAATCTTATAGCCTGCTTAACATCATCAATGAAGATGCCACCGAGCTTGAGTTTGAGGGAAATTTTCAAGATTCAACTATTGTCATCATAACAGCTCTGAAGGCTGGGACCCCTGTGGGATTTGGCTCCGTGAATCAGATCATAACAGGTGAGGAAATGCCCTTTGGAAGTGTTATAGTGCTGCGTAGGAATTAATTTTCGATTTGTTCACATGGATATGTAAATGGAAACTGCTCTGTGAGTAACCTCTAGCTGTTGTGAAAAAAAATACGAATGAAACTCAAATGGGTCGCCTGAAAATAACCGTTAGCAAGCTGGAAAAATTAAACGAAAAGTGTATATGTCTCTAATCCCCAAATTTCTTCCCTTCCCTCACAGACCCGGGTTCTAGGGTGGCGAGGGTAGGGGACGCCAGCGCCCCGTCCCTCAGGGTGGACCCAGGGGCGCGAGACCAGGTGGATGTCCCTGACAAGCCTCCCTGCGCGAGAGGCTCTGGCCCTTGCTACTACATCGGCCATAGCGCCCCCCTGCCCCCCCTCTGCGACGACCTTCCCGAGATCAGATTCTGCGACGCCGTTGTGTCGGAAGTGCAGAGTAATTACCAAAGGTTTCTTTCCCTGTTAAACAGGGCATCACACATTCAAGCTACGCTGCATGATGCGGTTCAATCCCTGCCATTTATGATCGTCAAGAGAGCCGTTCGAGTGGTAGCCAATAGAGGGTGCTAGTAAAGCAATTCCACCAATCAGCGAGCGCCATTCACAATTTTTTCCTCTCCTTCGGCCAATCACGTTGCATGTAGACAAAACAGCTCGTTTATTTTTTATTGTGGTTGCAGAAAAAAACTAAGTATAAGTAGAAATTTTGTGAATAAGAAATTGTTTGATTATATATATCATGCTGCATGTTAAAAGACTGGAAAGAGTACAGTCATACTCCAGTTAATAATCATTTATGGTCGTAACTGTAGGTACGAGCGATTTTACCATCGTAAGTGCGTTAGTTAACTTAAACATATGTGCACTTTCATAGCATGTCTATACACTATTATACCAGAATGCATTCCTACAATAAGAAGAGATAAATTTACATCGTGCCGTGCGAGCGAGCTCAGGACAGAGGTCCCTCACTCCGCCGCCCCCCTTCCCCCCAGACCCGCCCGACGCCCCGGCCCTGGAGCTCCGCAACCGGCAGGAGCTGCGAGTGCAGCAGCCCCGGCCCGACGGAACGTGGACTGAGGTCGTGGTCTCCTGGGACGGCTCCATCCTGTCTCCCGACGGCTTCGGCTGCGACGACCTGGGCGACGGCATTTGCTCGCAGCCTGTGGCCGTCGCGGACGCTTTCGACGTGACGCTCGTCGTGCTGGACGACGACTGCTACGTCACGACGTCGCTCACTGTGCCCTTCGAAGGTACTCTTTCTGTTGTTACGGCTTTTCATTTTCGTTTAGTATCATCTTTATTTCTATCATCAGCAGGTACACGTCTTTCCCTTCCCCCTGAGTCAAGGACCAACTAACAAGCGTCTTCTCGCGCCCCGCAGTGCACGGCGTCGCCGCGCTCTCCCTCTCCTCGGACGTCCTGCAGGTGGAGGTCGACCCTCGATCGGGGGGCACCTACGAGGTCACGCTGCCCGGCCCCTCGTCCCCCCCCGCGGCCACCCAGGAGTGTCAGGCTGGGTCGCCGTGCCGCGTCTGGTTCGCCGTGATGGAAGCGCCCCCCTCAGTGAGCGTCACGAAGGAATCCAATACCGTTTATGAGGATATAACTACAGGTGTTGTTTTATTATTATTATTATCGTTATCTTTCCTATTTTCTTCTTTTTTTTTGTCACTGTGATTACCATTCGGCGTCAAGAAGGAATCAAATACCAATTATGAGGATATATCTACAGGTGCTTTTTTCTTATTACCATTATTATGGTTTATTACTTTTAATAATTCCTCTAATTTAGGACTTTTTACTGTCAAGTTCCTCACAAAAAAGCAGGACTCGACAAAAGAACCAAATCCCAACTGCTTCCACAGAAACGCCTCCTCCCGCGTCACAAGTGCAGGTCATCACCTCCATGGACGCTGAAACCCAGACCCGAGTCCAAGTCCAGAGCAGCAACACCGTCACGCAGGTCGAACTCGTGACCTTCGTGTCCAGTGTCGCCACCGAAGATGACTGCGAAGACCTTGAAGCATTCGCCGGGAATTCCGAGTATTACTTCGACGCATCTCTGCGAGGACCTGGAGGCTGGGACTTTGTCGTTGCCGGGTACTGTGATGACGGGTCCTTGTGCGAAGTGGGCCAGGCCAGCGTGATTCTCTTGGGTATGCTGTTTCGCACGTCTCTGGCCTCGCACACTGCTATCCCTTGCCTCCTTCAGTTCCCGAGATCCGTGGTTCCTAAAATCGAGGGTTGGAGGGTTGAGCTAGATGCAGGGGCCTGAGGTAGATGCGCGTGTTGCGTGGGTGGGGGTCGTGCCTACCTGACAAAATCTGAGATGTTGCAAATAAACATATTCAATTACCGCTACACAATACATATCCGATATACTGTCCTTATTTATGATTCCTTTCTGTTCCCCAACGTTCACCAGTTAAGGGGATGTATCCGATCCTAAACAGTCAGATCAAATTATTGTTAATATAACCAAACAGTACCGCAAAATCTATATAAGAAAACTGACCAGGGAGGAAGGATATCATAGAAAGTGAAAGAGAAGAGCATCATTAAAAAAAATAAATCACTGTCCTTCGTCGATAGGCCAATCTTCTTTTCTTCCAAGGTCTCGAGATATTACTCATTTCCGCAGTTATGGATACGGAGGATAATGTAAATGATATGAAAATGTTATGATGCGTAGACTCAAGCACTGGGATTCCATATGCGATTTATCTTTTTCGTCTTGATTTTACTAAATGCAGGTATTTCATGATTGTTACGATATGTATGACATCATTTCTCATGAAAGTTCTCGCGAAGTCGTCCTTAGACATTCCTGATCGGCAGACATGGACTCCTGGGTGGGCGTGGTGGGCGCCGCCCTGGACTCTCCTGACGCCTCTGTCAGAGTCGACGTCGGGAGCCTAGATGACGTTAGTGTCGAGGGCATCGGGTCATGCGCGAAGGCGGACAGTCCATGCTACTTCCTGACGGAGGCGCTGACGGCGAGCACTCTCAGGCACTGCGTCACCATCGGTAATACGGCAGGAGGCGGGAGCAGTGACGTCTCTCAGTGTGACTTGTCTTTCACGCCCTATAAACGTGAGTGATATTGCTTCCATTGTTAATAATACCAATGCGTGATTATATAATCCAGTATATAACTATGTCGTTTACAAGTACTGGTCTGAAAAAAAAAAATTCTTGATTTCTTCTTCTTATTTTCATTAGGAGCATTGCTAGTATTATTTTTACTATCATAAAATTATATTTCCTTGCATAATAAGCATAACTAAATAATTATTTATATCACTAATACTATCTATGATAACATCAACAGGCCTAAAAATAATACAGCTACTATTATCATCGTATAGTTTTTACCATGTCAATATATCCATTTTTATTTACGATCGGCTTTTGTTTGAACAAATTACTTATTATATTCATACATCTGGCCTACCACTTGAATTTCCATTCGCATACTGTAATTAAATAAAAATTAGAAAATTAAATGAATTGACGGGATAAATTTGATAATCATATATATCATCCCATTCACCACGTATGGCAATAATACATGTTATGCCCAATACAAGTTTATTTATAGATAGCTCCACAAATCTTAGTCACCAAGGAGTCGGTTATTAGTCCTACCTGTCTCACCTGTTTACTCTTTTCGTCGACTTCTGGAAAGGGTCTTTTGCATTATTCCATTGTCTTAAATGTTATCGACATTTGAATAACAATTTAATAATCATAACATCAATAACAGTATCGATCTCAACTGTAAATCAGGATCGGTCGCTAGGGCTACTCATAGACTCCTTGCCAGCTGAGCACATGTGGAGCCATCTGTATGTAACAACATTGACAAAAAAAACTACAGGGGGCAGAAAAATAAATCCGGGGCAGTTGGGTTAAGGATAATATACCCACCCCCTTACCAGATGCTGAATACCACGTGAAGCAATAAATGAATCGCCAAATTAATACCCTCACTCATAATTACAATGAATAAAATATGAATATCCCCACCCGTTTCTTGTACGCATAACTTGCTAAATAAATGAACTACAGATAATTACTGATATTTAGAATAAAATATCTCCTTTCTGCAATAGCGATGGACCAAGAACCAATGCTGGAGCTGGTCAACAGAACTATCCTGAAGGTTACTACACAAACGTCAAATTCCCTCGAGGTGGTGGCTTTTAACCCGCAGACTGATGACCTTCTTAGCAGGTAGGACAACGATTTCATGTAATTGAAATTGATTATTTTTTTATTATCTGGTAAACATATGAACATAGTCATAATTAGTATATATTTAAGAAGTTATAGTTGAGCTATTATTATTCATTATATATGTAATATTGTTAGATGAGTCAACGAAAAATCCAATATTATAGTTATTACAAGAGTGTGCTGGTTACGCATTTGATTTCAGAACTTTACATTCGACATCAAAAGTCATGTACATAATAAAATAAGTCTTATGACATCAAACTTGCCTTTGGATTAGATCAGCTTTCAATATAGTTTCTATCTAACAATCTCTAGGCTTGGCAATACTGCATGTGAATTTCATCGGGAAATACCGTTGTACCTTAATAGCAGATGAGATATTTCAGCAAATTCTTGAAGGTGTTCAGTGTTTTGATTTCTCTGGCAGTAGGCAAATCGACTCACATTTTCTCTCCGTGGAATGAAATGGAACTTTGGGTTTAGTCTAAGTGGACAATGCAAATGAGTTATTACATTTTAGCGTTCTTTCTTTATTTTTTAGTTTCTCCTTTCTCTTACTTAGTTCTTTGTGGTGATCAGATGTTCCAGCCTAGTGTGGAATACGCTGTCAAAGACAAAACAATATATAAGGTGAAGGGTAAACTAAAGAGTAGTAGATCACAGACTGTCTGAGTATTTTCTCGTCTGGATTTCTTTATCTTGCCGCACTCCATCATTTACTATTCATACACTGGGTAGTAATGTCATTCGTGTTAATTGTTGGTAAGATTCTGTAGTGTCTGTTTTCTAAACCTTAGTTTATAAGGTTCCTACAATATAACCAAAGCATGACGACCTCATTTAGATGAAGGAGAAACAGGAAAGAACCAAGTATTGAAGCTTGAGGAATGCCTTGTTTGATCCACCGTGGAATGGCGTGACATACTTTTTAGTTTGTTAATTGTACTTACGCACATATGGCTCCTCACGTGATTAATTAACAAATTCCACATAAGAATGTAGTGAACAGTACACACACACACACATACATCTGTCTATCAATATATGTAACACAAACTCATATTTATGTGTTGATAGACGCAAATAGAGTTACAGATACAAATATGTAGATGTATAGCTAGAAGATACTGTATGTGGTATCTGAGAAAGTGATCATATACTTTACCTTGAATGCAGTGTGTATACATCCATAACTACACATGCCAGGGAAGGGGTGGACCTGGGGTCCGATTTACAAGAAATAGAAACTATTTTTCTTTTTAGATAAAGCTCATCCTTATTCCCTTCCAGTCCACTGTGCACTCCCGAGACCGACGGATCCTGCATTCAAGAGGTGAACATTACAGAAGAACTCGTGGACTTCAAGGTGCTTGTGGTGGCGGTGGACGCGGCAGGGGAAACACAAGAGTCTGTTCTTTCCTCTTTCTATGGTAAGGGAGAGACAGAGAGAGAGAGAGAAAGAGAGAGAGAGAGAGAGAGAGAGAGAGAGAGAGAGAGAGAGAGAGAGAGAGAGAGAGAGAGAGAGAGAGAGAGAGAGAGAGAGAGAAGGGTGACTGAGAGAAAGAGCAGAGAGAGAGAGAGAGAAGGGTGACTGAGAGAAAGAGCAGAGAGAGAGAAGCGCCTTCACTTAATAAACATAATGTATAACTGACGAATCCCTAAGAATTCAGGGCAAGCTTACCAAATCCAATCATTCTCTGGTTACACAAAAAACAATATATTTTTCTTTTACCTTTGGAGACTTCGTGACCCACGCCCAGCACTTCAACAACGGCACTGACCTCGAAGTCCGGTGGCGAACTTCCAGTGAGCAGACCTTCAGCATCAGCATTGAGGACGACTTGGGTGGCTTCACAAAGACGTCCGTGACATGTGGACAGGACCTTAGGACATGCAAAGCTTATTTCACCAAGTTAAGCACAGAAGTGGCTCATAAGGTGAAGGTGACGAAAGATAAGACGGCCGTGTCGGTCTCCGTTCAGCCAGGCCAAGGTAAGGAAGATTTCCAGAGTGGGTTTAGTCAGAAATAGGCGAGGCATGGAGGCATAGACAGAGAGTGTGGTAATATTCTGAACCTCCAAGGCAGATGTGTATATAGATGGCTCCTTATTTCCTTCCCAGTCTTCGAAATTGCTAATAAGCTCTTACACCTCTCCCACCATAAAAGATAAAGATTAACAAATGCTCTTCTTCCAAAGATGCCACGACGCCCCTTTCCATTACACGAATCTCCAAAGTCTCAACCCTGCGTCCTCAAGCGCAGCTGACGATCTCGTCCGACGTAGACGTCGCAGGGGTGAAGTACCTCGAGTACGTGGTGATCGAACCCCCTGTTGGCAGCGATATTGTCCAACACGTTGCCTTCGCAGACTACAGTGACGTCATACACACAGGCAACAACATCACATTCGAAGACGTAGAACCGCCGAAGACGGGCGTCGAAGTGACGGTGATGGTCATTGCGCACGCGGGCGACGGCGCGGACTCGGACGCCCTGGCCTTCGGGAAGATCTTGGCCACTTTTGAAGGTAAATGGGAAGTGTGGAAGTGCAGTGCTCCTGCCAAAGGGAGTGCTGTTTGCGGGGTCAGATAGATATTCATGGAATGAATGAATAGGATAAAGATTGCTATGAAAATCACGATTCAATATCATTTTTTTACACTTGTTTTCAGTTATATGTCTTTAATGTCAGTAATGAGAAATTAAGTAACACTTTCCTTCCCATCTTCTTAGTCTATTAATTCCCTCATTACTATCATTACCGTTGTAATATATATAGCATAATATGTGATATGCCCCTCCCATTCGTCCAACAGATATTAAGCTCCCGCACATGACGAAAGTGGGAACAGAAGAGTTCCAATCCCTCAAAGTGGAGACGGGAGAAATGGATATCAAAGTGAACGGTTTCCTGTGTCCAGCCAGCACAATCTGCTACTACTTGGAGCCACATAATATCCTGGAGCCTCCCGAAGTCTGCAGGATGGCCACCCCAACCGTCGAGCAGTGTGACATGACTGCAGCATACAGAGAGCCAGAGGGTAAGATTAGACAGGGAATGAAATATAGGGACGTTGGCAAGGGAGCGCAAAAGCCTCGTGAGTCTGACAGCAAAGCACTGTGGTTGTATTTCAGTTCAGTTCATTCATGCTGTGCTTGTTTCTGTTTAGATCAGTAATTCTCAGCTTATACTTCGTGTCACACAAATGTGTCGTAATTACCCTCAGAGGGTGTCGCATAACATTTTGAAAGTGTATACTTCTTGCCTTTGGAATTACATTTTTCAAGACTAATGTAAAAAGGATATAAAAAGAGATAAAACATCACAGCATAGAGTAAAAATCAAAACAGAAATGTGCATTTGATCAACCATGTTTCCCTTCAAACAGCTCTGATCGATCCGGCGGTTCAGTTGACCTTCACCGGGGCGCCTGAGGAGGACCTGACTGTCGCCGCCGAATTCGCCGAAACGTCGCTCACAGTGGAAGCGAAACTCTACACAAGCTCGGAGGTTCTGACACCGGAGCCGCTAACCTGCGATATCACTGGCCAATCGGCAAAGATCTGCGCATTCAAGGTTGAGCCAAATGTGACGAAATTTAAGATTCTGCTTATGGTATTAGATGCTCAAACGATTGTGGTACAATCACATGTCGTGGAATTTGAAGGTAAATGTTTGTTTTGTTTATGTTCATTTTACCTATTTCAAATTAGCCGGGGAAAATATAGACTAAAAAATCAAAACAAACACATATTCACCTGACGAATTTAGAATTATTTTTTTTTCGTAATTTCATTAAAAATCTTACATATATATATATATATATATATATATATATATATATATATATATATATATATATATATACATATATATATATATATATATATATATATATATATATATATATATATATATATATATATATATATATATATATATATGCATGTATGTATGTATGTATATATATATATATATATATATATATATATATATATATATATATATATACACACACACACACACACACACACACACACACACACACACACACACACACATATATATATATATATATATATATATATATATATATGCATGTATGTATGTATATATATATATACATATATACATATGTAAAGTTAAAACAAAATTCCAGATTTCCAAACTCGAATCCAGCAACTGACATCAGAGGCCATCGAAGTCCGCTGGCGAGCTTCACAACGCCAGGAATACGACGTCGAAATTTTCCCTGAAATCGAAGGCAGCTTCAGCAACACTTCAGTGCTGTGTGGAGGCGAAGAGCCTGAAGACAGCGACCTCTGTCTGGCTTACTTCATAGCGTTAGACTCCACTGAGAATTATACGGCCAGTGTGAGGACGAGGAACAGCCAGAAGAGCGTGCTGGCGGTCGTACAGATGGAGGCTCGCGTGGAAGGTCAGCCTCACGGAATACCGTGCCCTTTCAGCCACTTTTGTCACATCTAGCATATTTTATTTTTTACTTATTAATACATATGTATATATATATATTTTTTTTTACAAATGTTTACGTAGGTAGCAGAATCGATATTCAATCTGTACAGTAACATAACATATATTTCTATACAATATAAACAAGCCATCTACAGTAACTATACATCTCTGTTCTCACTCCAGCTTTAAACATAACGGAACTGACCCTCGCCAAGACAGAAGACACGAGTGCAGAGCTGAACGTGTGCTTTATCGAGAGGCAACTGGCGGAAAACGAGGCTCAGATAGAACAGAAAACCCTTCTGTACAGATTAGTGGCGGTGGATGCCACTGGCCGACAATTACGGATGATGTCGAATTCCTCTCTCGCATCCTCCTCCGTCGTCGAGGGGAGGCTGTGTCTCGGTCCGCTCCCTCTTGACTTCGACTTCGACTTGAGTGACAAGGTCCGGATTCTCGTGACGCAGGAGGACCTCGACACTCACGAAGTCGCAGCTGGAGACGCTGAGGTGCTCCTCTTGGGTGAGTTCGGTTCCCTGCAACGTCCACGCCTTTTTGTGTCCTGCGGTGTCTTACGGGGGGGGTGGGGTGTCCTGGGAGCAGAGGGCCCTACCGCTCACACCGCGCTGCTTCTACACCGCCCCCTTACGCCATCACTTTTCATCCGTTTGCATCCATATTTATACATCTATTCCTCTCTCTTATGACATGCCTTCTCTTGCTCTTTTAATTCTCAAAACATAACGGTCTCCCATATTTTCCTTTTCTCTGTTTCTATTTCATCACTACCTACGTTATTGTGTCTACGTGTTCTGGATTAACTGTTATGGTAAAAAAAGCAAGTACTATCTTTACCAATAATTTCTTTTAGTGTGAGCCATCTGTTGATTAGCTTCCACGAAAGGAAGTATTAATACCATCCTTATAACATCTCTCCTAGTCGTTCTTTCACTCATGCCATTGATTCAATTGTCCTTTTCATCTCCATCACCAAGTTTCATCCACATTTTCCTTCTGTCCACCTATTTATCTCTCTATCCATTCACTTATCCCATTCTCTCTCTCTCTCTCTTTCGCTACAAGTGCCACTATCTCTCCATCTCTCGCGTTCATCCACAATAATCCACAAGCGACAGAAAAACGGGATTGCTCCTTTACTTATCATTGTTTTTATGTTATGTTATGTTATATGTTGTTGTTTTATTATTATTGTTATCATCATCGTTTTTATCTGTTGTTTTATTACTACTGTTATCGTTATTATCATGTGTCGTTTTTATTATTTGTCATCATTTTTTCATGTGTTGTTTTATTATTTTTGCCATCATTTTTATCATGTGTTGTTTTATTATTCTTGTGTGGTGTATCGACTAAATGGGTCTGTGGCCAGGGGTCCCGTACTATAAACTCCCCTCCCTTTGTACTAGTTAGGGACACAAGCCTATACCTCCAATATCCCCTCATGTACAGATCCCCTTGAGGTGTGGTAGCGTGGGGGGGGGGGGGACTCTGCATGAGAACTACTTGGGGCAAGTTCCAGTGAGTATTTCCTTAATGTTTCTTCATAGTAAACACTGAATACGAGCACATGAAAATAATATATAAGCCAGGTAAAACAAAGAAATAGTTAATTAATAGCTAAATAAAAACTGCTGTGAACAAATGAAAGCCATCTCTAAATGAAGAGCTAAGCTAAAGGCTTACATTAATTGCTGCAAAAAGGAAAAGGAGCCATAGATGGTCCTTAGGCTAAAGGCTTTAAACTAATATATGAAAAAAAAAGTTCTCAAGCACAGTGACACAAAAGCACTGAAGGTACATCTCGAAGGAAAGAAAAAAAAAATAATGGCAAAGGCTAAGAGCAAACAGAAGCACAGAAGAGTAAAAACAAGCATAACACTAAAAGTCCTGAGGGGACAGTGAATAAAAATTAATAAAATGAAAGTAAAACCACTGAAAGAAAGTAGCAAGGCATCACTAACAGTACGTTTTCTTAAGAAATAGAGATCACGTCCAGCTCCTATTAAAATAAAAAAATATCAGGCTCTCAAGACTTAGCTCTTCTTTATGTAGCTGTAGCAAGGTATCCGGTGTTCTCGGGTCAAGAAGAGGGGCAATAATACACTCTGACTGCTATAGACTGACTGTATTTGGCGGGAAAACTGGGTCGTACATATAGACTCTGTGACGTCATCAGCCACGTAAAATAATAATATATAAAAAAACAGATTACATTTTTAAAATACGAGGAATGATGTCTAAACATAAACTAAGGAAAAAACATACAAATATGAGAAAATAAAAATAATTTAGGTGACCAAAAATACGACATTTGAAAAGATGTCATACCATCCCTCGATGATGAATCAGCAAGCAAACTAAATAACTTATTATAAAAAGGTAAAAGAGAAATTGCTTAAAATAGTGACTAATGGACTCAATAAAAATGATTAATAAGAACCGGTAAAAGATAACACAGTAAAAACGAAAGTATATATAAGGAAACAAAGAGAACGTCTATCAGGCAGACTAAAACAAATGCAAAAGCAACAAAAAAAAACCGAAGACAAAACACACACAAAAAGATGACAAATATATAGAATCGCCCACGAACAAGGACGCGACTCCGAGCGATAAATCCGCGGGAGTGGGGGACATTGTAGGGTGCTCGCGGGAAGGGTTGTAGAATAAGCGTTCCTTACACTTGCTATCACCATTATTGTCATGTGTTGTTTTATTATTATTGTTATCATCATCGTTTTTATCTGTTGTTTTATTACTACTGTTATCGTTATTATCATGTGTCGTTTTTATTATTTGTCATCATTTTTTCATGTGTTGTTTTATTATTTTTGCCATCATTTTTATCATGTGTTGTTTTATTATTCTTGTGTGGTGTATCGACTAAATGGGTCTGTGGCCAGGGGTCCCGTACTATAAACTCCCCTCCCTTTGCACTAGTTAGGGACACAAGCCTATACCTCCAATATCCCCTCATGTACAGATCCCCTTGAGGTGTGGTAGCGTGGGGGGGGGGGGACTCTGCATGAGAACTACTTGGGGCAAGTTCCAGTGAGTATTTCCTTAATGTTTCTTCATAGTAAACACTGAATACGAGCACATGAAAATAATATATAAGCCAGGTAAAACAAAGAAATAGTTAATTAATAGCTAAATAAAAACTGCTGTGAACAAATGAAAGCCATCTCTAAATGAAGAGCTAAGCTAAAGGCTTACATTAATTGCTGCAAAAAGGAAAAGGAGCCATAGATGGTCCTTAGGCTAAAGGCTTTAAACTAATATATGAAAAAAAAGTTCTCAAGCACAGCGACACAAAAGCACTGAAGGTACATCTCGAAGGAAAGAAAAAAAAATAATGGCAAAGGCTAAGAGCAAGCAGAAGCACAGAAGAATAAAAACAAGCACAACACTAAAAGTCCTGAGGGGACAGTGAATAAAAATTAATAAAATGAAAGTAAAACCACTGAAAGAAAGTAGCAAGGCATCACTAACAGTACGTTTTCTTAAGAAATAGAGATCACGTCCAGCTCCTATTAAAATAAAAAAAATATCAGGCTCTCAAGACTTAGCTCTTCTTTATGTAGCTGTAGCAAGGTATCCGGTGTTCTCGGGTCAAGAAGAGGGGCAATAATACACTCTGACTGCTATAGACTGACTGTATTTGGCGGAAAACTGGGTCGTACATATAGACTCTGTGACGTCATCAGCCACGTAAAATAATAATATATAAAAGAACAGATTACATTTTTAAAATACGAGGAATGATGTCTAAACATAAACTAAGGAAAAAACATACAAATATGAGAAAATAAAAATAATTTAGGTGACCAAAAATACGACATTTGAAAAGATGTCATACCATCCCTCGATGATGAATCAGCAAGCAAACTAAATAACTTATTATAAAAAGGTAAAAGAGAAATTGCTTAAAATAGTGACTAATGGACTCAATAAAAATGATTAATAAGAACCGGTAAAAGATAACACAGTAAAAACGAAAGTATATATAAGGAAACAAAGAGAACGTCTATCAGGCAGACTAAAACAAATGCAAAAGCAACAAAAAAAAACGAAGACAAAACACACACAAAAAGATGACAAATATATAGAATCGCCCACGAACAAGGACGCGACTCCGAGCGATAAATCCTCGGGAGTGGGGGACATTGTAGGGTGCTCGCGGGAAGGGTTGTAGAATAAGTGTTCCTTACACTTGCTATCACCATTATTGTCATGTGTTGCTTTTATTATTATTGCCATCATCATTTTCCTCATGTGTTGTTTTATTATTGTTGTCATTGCCATTCTCATCACCGCTAGTCCACCACCCCGCTTACCGCAGACCCTCGCCAAGTGGACGTGAGGCAAGTGGGCGCGAAGGCCGTGCGGGCGAAGTGGACCAACACCAACGGGGCCCTCGGCTTCGAGGTCGGGATTGGCGTCGAGGACCTGTTCTCCGTGGAGTGTGGCGTGGAAGGGGACGCCGAAGAAGAGTGCTTGCGATACCTCCACGTGGACAGCACAAGCAAGCAAGTCACGGTTACGTTGAGGGAGATTGGGCTTAGTGTGGACCAGCAAGTGGAGGTTACACTCGCGCTGAGGGATTTCGATGGTAATTTATTGTGTGTGTTTGTTTGATTAAGTTTCTAAGATGCAGGCATGTGAATGGTGTCTCCTTTATATAAGATTTATAGGTCAAGGTCATTCTGCATCGTGTAAGCATCGCATGAATGAGTGGGATCACCTATTTACTCTCAACCAACGGAATGTGTTTTTGGTAACTCCTCAGAAGTAACTCCGCTTCCAACACATACACGTACATATCTACTGAGAACAATATCTTCAAAAAACTAGTAACGTAGTAGACTGAATGGCTAAATTCATTTTAAACAGAGCAAACCAGAGCTCGGGCATTATTCATAAGGTAGGTTGGAAATCAGCAGTATTGTTATAATCCTTTTTTCCTTTATATATAGATATATATATCTACGTGTCTTATGTTCCCTGGGATGAACATGCTCCTGCCTTCAGGATCGTTCTTCCCAGCTTTGCTCCGCCATATATCCTGTGAACCTTATTTCCTCGCCCCTAGACATACAAATAAACAAAACGGATTTAACTTGGGACGGTCGTCTGCGCGTGTGC